TGCGTTGATCCTGGGACTAAGATGGGGATCCATCTTTTGACATTTGATCTGGCTCGTGAAGACTGGCTTGGACAGGTAGATGTGGAGGAGTGTATCCCAGCAAAGGGACAGCATGAGCAAAGACATAGAATCAGGAAAACCAGGGACACATACAAGGAACAGTGAGCCGTTCAGTCTAACTAGACAATGGGAACTCCCTGCTCACACAAGCTACAGTCATGCAAAAGGCATCCACAGTGGTCCGTTCCTCGGCAGGACCCAGCACACGCTCAACCATGGATACACTTGGGGTCCAGAAATCAAAACAGGCATTTCTTCACTGTTCCCCTTGGGTCACAACTAACTTTACCTAACAAAGGTGCCTGGGAGGGGCCCTTTGGTCTTCCTCCTTCCTGTTTCACTCCTTGGCCCCGAGCACCTTGCCTTCCACCTCCTTGACCCCTACTTCACTTCTGCTGCCCAAACCCAGGTCTCCCAGATCCAGGCTAGACAGACCCAATGGCTAGACAGGACTTCATCAAATATTTCATTCATTTCAGATCCATTCTTTAAAGAGCAGCTCCTGCAAGGTAACAACTAGTCTCTTCCTGCTAAATCGACTGCTTCTCGTAACTTTGATTCATTATCACACTAAAATGAACTAAAGATAAAGATGAGAAGCTGCCAGGTGGATGAAAGAACAAAGAAGTCTTCCCCGATTAGTGAGACTGGCTGCATCCCCAGGCTGAATCTGGTCTTCAAGGATTCCTGATGGGAACGATCTGATGGGAAGCCTTGGAATGCAGCAGGGTTGGAGGGGTGCAGGAAGCAGACCGGAGAGGAACAGCTGGTAGGTAACAGGTGACTCTGAAAGCATGAATGCCACTGTCCAAAGAGAGAATGTTGAGCTCAAGGACAACAGTGCCAAGGACAAGTCCTCAGGAGACACCCAAGGGCTGGGAAGTAAAAAGAAGTACCCGAGAAGAAGATGGAACAAAGTCATTCTGAGAGTCTGTTAGACCAGTCCTTCCCTGTATAACAAGCAAATGAAGAAATTCTCCACAAGGAAGAGTGTTAACTCTATCTGATGCTGAACCACTGTTGCACAGATAAGAACCCAATGAGAGACTGGGGATGGCTGTCCCGTTGGCACTCCTCCAGCCCACCACTTGCTCAAATGCATCCAACTTCCTCTCCCGTGGTCCTCCCTGTCATCCACAGTGTGCGCGTCTCTCCTCTGAACTCCGGATCCCATTCCCTCTGCTTCCTTTCTCTGTCCATCTCCCCTCCCCCTCTTCTTTAACCTCTCAGCCAATAAAGAGGCTCAAGACTCTTTTTTAATTACTATTTTTTTTTTATTTTGAGACAGGGTCTCATTAAGTTGCTGAGCCTGGCCTTGAACTTGGGAATCTTCCTGCCTCAGCCTCCTGAGTCACTGGGATTACAGGCGTGCACTATTATACATGGTGAGGTTTAAGGCTTTTCTATCTTTAAAACATCAAAATAACCAGCCTCCCTCAATCCTACATCTACATCTAAATCTTGTCCTCATTCTCTATGGTGCCACATTCAAGCTCTTTGGGGAAGGGATCTGGGTCCATTTTGTCTCCTTTTACACATTTTTTTGCTGCTGCCCCCTCCTCCAAAGCTGTCCTCATTAAGATCGCCCATGAGCTCTATATGTTCAATCCACGGGCAATTTCCTTCACTGGGCTCTGCAAGTCATTTGATATAAATGCTTTCTTTTTCTTAAAAATCTCCTCTGGCCTTGCTTCTAAAACACCGTTTGCTCCTTTTCTTTCCCATTCCTCTCTGCCTCCTCTGCCTAGAGATCTGTCCTCATCCCTTTGCTTTTATGCTGTGCAGCTCCCTTGGGCACAATTTTTATGCATATGAGTCCCAGATCTATGTCCCTAGCCCCAGCCTTCCCTCTGAGTGTCTTCTACTGACAATTCAGCTTCTGTTCAACATGCACTTACTTACCTTGTGTCAGGTCCTGCTGAAGCACTAAATAAATCATCCACTTATTTACCATGGTGATTGTTATGGTTGGAATATTTGTCCCCTCCCAAACTGCTGTTGTAATTTCATTGCCATTGTAACCATATTCAAAGGTGGGACTTTAAAGAGGTGTCTAGTCCATAGGTGCTCTGTGCTCACAGACGGATTAATGTTATCAAGGAGGTGAGAGTTATTGCAGAAGTGGGCTCCTCTGAGAAGACTTGAGTTCAGCTTCCTCTTGCTCTCTAGCATGGTCTCTTTGTCCTTCTGCGATAGGATGATGCAGCAAGTCCCTTGTCATCTGCTGGCCTTGAACTTGGACTTCCCATGTCTGAACTGTGAACCAACACATTTCTATTCTCTGTCTATTACTCAGTCCTAAGTATTCTGTGGCGTCAGCACCACCAGACTGAAAAAGCCCAAAATGAAAAATCCATTGACTTAAATTAAACTCTTCTTCCTAATCATCAAGTTTTTTCTCATTTTTCTGTGAGGCGGGTCATATAAAAAGTTCTCTGGTCCTGCATGTTCCCGTCCTTTAGCCCTTCCACTCCGTATACAGCTATCCCAAGACCTGCTCATCCCCTGCTTCATAAGCCCCTCCTACCCACCCCCCACCGCCTCTGCCCGTCATCTTGTGTGACCTGGGTTCTCACAGAATCCTTCTGGAGTCTTCTACCTCTGGTGTGACCCCTCTCAAATCTGCCCTCCAGGATGCTTTCCAAGTACTTGCCTCTAATATACAGCCAGATCCTAGCCCCACCAGCCCTCTATACCCTTCTGCTTAAGGCCCTGTCATTTACCCGCCCCCAAGATTTTAGGATGAGTAGGGAATTACATTGGAGGGTCCAGGTAGGCTCCAAGATGGCTAGCTGTCTCATTCTTCTAACATTCCACTAAGCCCTTCCCCTTTACTCTTTATAACTTCCACAAACTCCTCCCTAATTGAAGTTTTCTCTTAGAAGCCTTTTTCATTCTGATTTAATTCCCCCTACCTTGGTGTTCTCATTGCACAAAGTGTATACATCTACCATTGCTGGTTTATTTGCAGCTCATCCACTGGCTGTAAACTTAAGAGGAGGGCTAGGTGCTACTAAGCTCTGACTTCTCAGTACTAAGTTTCTATTGAATGAATGGCAAGAACTTCCTTATCATTGAATAATTGTCTATTGAAGCTTATGGGAAGTAGTATCACAATTTTCAGCTCAAATTCCACTTTAATTGTCATCTACAAGATCTGTGACCCTGAACAATTTTCTTAATGCCCTGTGAATCAGTCTCCCTGTCTATATCATTAGGAATAATAAGAGAATCCCATGTGTTCAATGTGATAATTAAATAGTCTATACAAATCATAAACAAAGCATCTAGCACATAGTAAATGTTTAATGAATGTTTGGTAGCATTTTCATTTTTAAATTGGGAAATCAATTGCTTTGGGAAGTACTCCAAAAATGAAGATCAAGTAGTCTTCCAGAAAGATGTTATTAATTCCAGTATTTTTATGAATTGTTTTCATTGTTGTTAGTTTGCAAAGTCAAAACTTGATTTAGAGCTACGGAAAGTTCATTCCAGCTCCTGGCATAATTATCACAACTTCCAAAAAAGAAGGGACAGAAATAATGACATGATCTTCTCCTCTTGGAGGTCCCAGATTCAATGGCTGGAGGATATCATCTTTCATTCCAGGAACTAGGGGAGGAGATGGGAATGCTGCCACTTGCTTATGCTTAATGCCTTTTCCTGAATTAGAAGAAACTGGATGATTCTTCAAGGAAATTACCCACACCCCAGAGACTCACTAAATCTTTCCATCTCTGCTCCCCAGCACATTTCAGGGACAGAACTTTCTTTCATTAGTTGCAAAGGGCATAGAGATGCAAAGGTATTTTCATAGTTGTGCAAACACACCACAAATGCTTCAGACCTCTTAAACAAAGCAGAGTATGCTCTTAAGACTAAAGACAAATAATTTATGACTCGGCCACACATTCAGAATATTTAAATAAGGACCGCTTATCTTAGTCCATTTTATGTGGCTATGACAAAATATCTGAGGCTGAGTACTTTGTAAAGAGAAAAGGCTCATTTAGTTCTCAGTTTGGGAGGTAAAAAAAAAGTCTAATATCATGCAGCCTCATCTGTTCAGTCTCTGAGAAGGACTCCCCTGGTTTCAACATAACCTGGCGGATGGCATCATGGTGGGAGAACATGAAGAGAGGGAGAGATCACACAGTGAGACTAGAAGCCAGGGTGATTCAAAAGAAGCAGGCTAGCTTATTCTTTTGTAACAAGCTGCTATCTTGAGAACTAGCTGTCTCCTTGAGACCAGCATTAGTCTCTTCCAGGGCAATGCCCACCGTGGCTTAGTTAGCTCACACTAGACCCCAGCTCAACATCACTACACTGGATACTGAGACACCAGCACATAATTCTCTGGAGGACAAACGTCATTTAAACCATGGCACTCTTCAGCCTGCAGGAAAACTGACTGGAGAATTCTGAAAGCCTGTCTTGGTCACTGAGAGCTCATTTCAACAGCTGATCAAACAGTAACACAAACTGTCTGACAAACCACTGATCATTTCAGATTCTATTAATACCCTCTTACCTGCACAAACATTTATGTTTGGACCCAATCCAGCTGTTGCTGCTACCAGATGGTTTATAGATGCATGCTAAGACACATCTGAGCGGTAACATCTGGAAATCTTAGAATCACATTCTTTTTGCTAAAATATGCCTGCAGGGGATGAGGGCCTCAAAAAGAGAAAAATCCAAACCTTTAATGGTTATTGTGAAGGATGTGAGATATTAAAGTTTTTTGGTCTTAATTAAAACTTCCAGAGAACAAAAGAGAAGTTGATCTTACATTCTAATTGAAAAAAATATTAATTCCATAAAGGAGTATCACCTTTTGAATTGTGTTATTTAGAAGTCATTCTTCATCTTTATGAAATTGAAGATTACATGGGCATCATCTTTAATAGAAGTTTATGAAAATCTCCAAGACTACTTACTTGTTAAATCTGCTTTCAAAAGCATCTATCTGCCCATCAGTGGTGACAGGTTAGCAAACATGCTTTGCTCCAAGGCACCTGCAACAACAATAACAACAAAAACCTCCCTAGGTTATTGCAATGTTTAATGAGATAATGTACATTAAAGAACTTTGGAAAATGTCATGAATGCTTTAGTTCCTGTTAAAGACAGACTGCGTGGCCAGAACTCACTTTACAGCAAATAGTCTTGAAGTAAAGCAAAGCAAAAAGGACTAGCTTAAGCCGGTACAATACACAATCATCATTTTCAGATCAGCACTCAGGGGTCAGCTTGCAGTACAGATCAAGGGAGGAGAAGAGACATGGTTATATATATTTTTTTCCAACTTGAAGTTACTCTATGTAGAATATTATCCTAATTTGAAACTTTCTTCCCTACATGTGGGTTTCAGACTTTCTGGAGTCACAGAGATATCACAAAGGGCCCATGGATCCTTATGCAGAGTCAACTCTGAGGGAAGAGTAGACAATGTGCATTTACTAAGCCTTGGAAAAAATGTTAATGAATGAATGAATGAATGAATGGTCCATTCATGTGCTCATTTTATGCTATACTTCAAGTCATGTAAATGCCATTGAATTTCAGTTATATTTGCTACATAACAAACAACCCCCAAAATTAATGGATTAAAATGATTCGTTATTTTCATGACTGTGCACTAGTTGTGTGGCACTGCTGGGTTTACCTGGGATCAATTCTGGGTTGCATTCACATGGTAGCTCAGCTGGTGATTAGGCTGATAGCTCAGCTGGTCCTTTCTCTCAGGATATGATCTTTCATCCTCAGGAAATGAGGCCATCTTTCTCCCATGATGGCAGCTGGGTCCCAAGAAGGCCAACCCTAGTACACAGGTACTTACCACCCTTTCAGCTCCACCTCTGAAAGTGGTCGCATCCATCTTGGAACACCCCCACTGCTATCTTGAGTCACCTCCGCTATTGCTACTACCACCTGTTACTATAAAGGCAGTGCCAAGAGGAAAGTTCATTGCACTAAGCTCATTCATTAAATGAAGAAAAAGTCAACAAATAAATGACCTTGTCTTGTATCTCAAAGCCCTAGAAAAAGAAGAACAAACCAACCCCAAAAGTAGGAGAAGACACGAAATAATTAAAATGAGTGGAATGAAAGTGAAACAAAAGAAACAATGCAAAATATTGACAAAACAAAAAAAACTGGTTCTTTGAAAAAAAATAAATTAAATGGACAAACCCTTAGCCACCCTAACGAAAAGAAGGAGGGAACAAACTCAAATATCAAAAAATTGTTATGAAAAAGATAATATCATGACAGACACTATTGAAATACAAAAGATAATTAGAAACAATTTTGAAAACTTACACTCCAGTAAAATAGAAAACCTTGAAGACACCGACAAATATTTATAGGCATATGATCAACCTAAACCGAGTCAAGAGGACATACATAATTTAAATAGATCAATTTCAAGCAAGAAAATAGAAGATGCCATCAAAAGGCTATCAACCAAGAAAAGTCTGGGACCAGACAGATTTACAGCTGAGTTCTATAAGACTTTCTAAGAAGTCTAAATAAAGTAGGAGGTAGACTGTCCAGAAGAATTAATAATACTCCTCATATTATCCCATGAAACAGAAAAGGAAGGACCCTTCCAAACTCATTATTCAAAGCTAGTATCATCCAGATACCAAGAACAACAAGGAAAGAAAAGTTCAGACCAATATTCCTGATAAATATTGATGCAAAAAAGTCTCAATAAAATTCTGGCAAATCTCATACAAAAACGTTTTAAAAATAGTGTACCCTGATCAAGGGTGTTCATTTCAGGGATGCAAGGTTGGTTCAACATACAGATATCAATAAATATAATTCATCATATCAATAGACTTAAAGGATCATATGATTATATCAATTGGTGCAGAGAAAGCATTTGACAAAATACAGCACACCTTCATGTTCAAAACACTAGGGATAGTAGGAACATACCTCAACACTGTAAAAGCTATCTATGGTAAACCCCAGGCCAACATCATTCTAAATGGGGAAACATTGGAAGAAAAACTGGAACAAAACAGGGATGCCCTCTTTCACCACTTCTATTAAACATAGTCTTTGAAACTCTAGTCAGAACAATTAGATAGATGACAGAAGTTAAAGGGATATAAATTGGAAAAGAAGAACTCAAACTATTATTATTTGCTGACATGATTCTATATTTAGAGGATCCAAAAAACTCCACCTGAAAAATAATTAATTAATTAATTAAACTAATGAATAAATTGAGAAAAGTAGCAAGATATAAAATTAATGCTCATAAATCAGATGCATTTTTATACATCATGATGAATCCTCTGAAAGAGAAATTAGGAAAGCTACTGCATTCACAATAGCCTCAAAAAAAAAAAAACTTGGGAATCAACAAAAGAGGTGAAAGACCTTTACAATGAAACCTACAGCACACTAAAGAAAGAAATTGAAGAAGACTTTAGAAGATGGAAAGATCTCCCATGCTTTTAGATATGCAAAATTAATATTGTCAATATGGCCATACTACCCAAAGTTCTATACAGATTCACTGTGATTCCAATTAAAATCCCATTGACATTTCTTATAGAAAAGAAAATGCAATCATGAAATTCATTTGGAAAAAATAAGAGACCCAGAATAGCTAGAGTAATCCTTAGCAATAAGAGTGAAGCAGGAGGCATCACAATACCAGAACTTAAACTATTCTACAAAGCTTAGTAACAAAAATGGCATGGTGTTGGTACCAAAATAGACATGGTAGACCAATGGTACAGAATAGAAGATACAGAAGCAAACTCACATAAATACAGTTATCTCATACTAGACAAAGGTGCCAAAATCAGACATTGGAGAAAAGATATCCTCTTCAATAAATGATGCTGGGAGAACTGGAAATCCATATGCAACAAAATGAAAATAAACCCCTATCTCTCACCATGCACAAAACTCAACTCAAAGTGGGTCAAGGACCTAGGAAGTAGAACAGAGACCCTGTGCCTAATAGAGGAGAAAGTAGGCCCACATCTTCATTACGTTGGATTAGGCCTCAACTTCCTTAACAAGATTCCTGAAGTGCAATAAATAAAATAAAAAATTAATAAATGGGATGGACTCAAACTAAAAAGCTTCTTCTCAGCAAAAGAAACAATCTATGAGGTGAAGAGAGCCTATGTTTTGGGAGCAAATTTTGCCACACACACACAACAGATAGAGAACTAATTTCCAGGATATATAAAGAACTCAAAGGTCTTAACACTAAACAAACAAACCAATCAATAAATGGGCCAAGGAGTTGAACAGACATTTCTCAGAAGAAGATATATATTTGATCAATAAATATATGAAATAATGTTCAACATCTCTAGTAATTAAAGAAATGCAAATCAAAACTATTCTAAGATTTCATCTCATGCCAGTCAGAATAGCAGTTATCAAGAACACAGACAACAATAAATGTTAGCGAGGATGTGGGGGAAAAGGCACTCTCATTCATTGCTGGTGGGACTGCTAATTGGTGCAACCACTGTGGAAAGCAGTATGGAGATTCCTTAAAAATCTTGGAATGGATCCACCATCTGACCCAGCTATCCTACTCCTCAGTCTATGCCAAAAGGACTTAAATCAGCATACTATAGTAATACAGCCACATCAATGTTTTAGCAGCTCAATTCACAATGGCTAAACTGTGGAAGCAACCTAGATGCACTTCAATAGATGAATGGATAAAGAAACTGTGGTATAAATATACAACAGAATATTACTCAGCAATAAAAGAAAATAAAATATGGCATTTGCAGGTAAGTGGATGGAGTTGGAGAATATCATGCTAAGTGAAGTAAGTCAATCCCAAAAAACCAATTGTTCTCTCTGATAAGTGGATGCTAATTCATAATGGGGATGAGGGGACATGAGAAAAATGAAGGAACTTTTGCAACTTTGATGGGGCAAAGTGTAGGGAGCCGTAGGGAGGAAAGATGGTGGAATTAAATGGACATCATTACCCTAGATACATGTAAGACTACACATATGGTGCGATGCTACATTGTGTACAACCATGTAAAATGTAAAATTGTGCTGGGATTGTGTGCAATAAATCAAAATGCATTCTTCTGTCATATATACCTAATTAAAATTTAAAAAAATATATTTTTAGTTGTAGATGGATTCAATGCCTTTATTTATTTGTTTGTTTGTTTATTTTTTATGTGGTGCTGAGGATCAAACCCAGTGCCTCAAATGTGCTAGAAAAGCACTCTACCACTGAGCTACAGATCCATGTCAATATATTTCTAATAAACAGACCAGTTTTTTCAGTTCCTTCTCTGTGAATTAGCAATTCTCCTTGCTGTCCTTTTGATTCATAGTTCTTTTCATTAATTTACTGAACATGTATCATATGGCAATGGTGTTCCAGGTCCTATTAGAGATATGCAGTGGAAATGGTGTTGGTTAAGGGGAAGAGATCACCAAATAGTCTCTCCTCAAATTAGCAATCGATAGGTATAGAAGGATAAATCCCTGAATGGCCTTGTCCATCCTAGATCCTCTCCTTCATGCTTGTAGCTCTAAGGATAAATGTAGAATGTACCAAGAATGAAGTGTCCTGAGATAAGAATTGTTTGAAATGATCCAGGCTACATGTTCTTTCCTCCTAGAACAGGATGCTCCACAAAATGTGTACTCAGTGATCCCAGTTCATCCAAGGTATAAATCCATGTTAGAGTGATTTCAGGGTCCCTCTGCTGTGTTGTGACATGGAGTACACACAGACGAGTCTCCTGGGCCACCTTCCTTGGCCTTAATGGACCAGTTCATCATACATTCTAGACTTCAGTGTGTCTTACTGCCTCTGTGAGTAATACATTTGCTTCACATGACTTATTGTGCAAGTGTTCTGTCTCACCGGACTAGAACTAATAACTTTTGCAATAATAAAGATCAAGAGTGGTAGAAATGTCAAAGGTGACCAGAGGAAGGAACTCTTCTACTATTTTTCCATGTTCCATGACCACAGATTTCCAACTTCCTT